TTCTTTCTTTCTTTCTTTCTTTCTTTCTTTCTTTCTTTCTTTCTTTCTTTCTTCCTCTCCCTTTCCTCCCTCTCCATCTCCTTCTCCCTCTCTTTTTTCCTCTCCTCTCCATTATTCTTCTCCTCAGAAGTTGGGTTGTAAATCTATAGCCTCCTGTGCTTGGAGAGCTGTGTAGTATCCTCCAGCTACACTGACCTGCTTGCTGGCAAATCTCAGGGCACAAACTCAGCAGGGATTGATTGCCACCAGGTCCCAGGCAGTGAGCAGAATCAGGACCCATCCCCTAGTTTTCTAGTACTCTTCATTAGCAAGGGGAAGGGGAGCCTCTTTTGATATTTTTTTAAATAAAATTTTTTATTTGACATTTTTACATTTGAGAACATTGTGATCCAACCTGTGCTTATAAATATATTTAATTCGGTTCTAAATATATGACTAAGACATCTTCCCTTTTGTGAATGGCTAATCGAGGTTCTGAGATGGAAGATTCCAAGGCCACTCATTGTTATGAAGGTTGATACCTGCATTGCCTTATGATGATTGTACTTGAAATGATACGACTGGCCCTTACACAGTATAGTCAGGTCTCTGGAAGATCACATGTTGTGACCCAGCCCTGTGTAGAGACAGACTACTAGGTGATGAATTTTCTTCAAGTGTCAAATAAGTGGCAAAGGATCAAACCAGCAGCCTCAGCCCATTCCGTCAATGTAAACCCACAGAGCTAGCTAAAAATAACTTGAGTTGATTACATATTTATATGTAATTTGATGGTTGATGTCTCAAATGTATTTCAGAGGAGCAGCATGAGCCGAGGCAGGAGTTCTTGGCAGCTTGGCGACCTGTCGCCTTTCAAAAGATGAAAAAAAAAGCCATAGAATGTCAGCATCCCTGGCCTCAGCAGACAGCAACAGTGCTGGTTGGCTGTTGTTAATTTCAGCCTTGGCTAACTACTTTTCTGTCACCATCATGTTGCCTGTATTTAGTGCTGGCTGTTTTATAACATTATAACCCCATCTGTCTTATAATTATGGAAGCACTGGAGAGTGTTGAGCGTGCTGATAAGAGCTTATTCTGATGAAAATAAAGAGATGGAGACTCAATGTGTGAGAAAAGTCGTCAAAACTCCACGTGGGTAAGAAGAAACGGTTCATTCGTCTACACTGCAGATCGAACCCAAGGCCTCTGCCGTGCTAGGCTCTACCAGGGAGAACTGGGCTCATCCTGAGAGAAAGAGAGACTGAAGACATTTGGTGGGCCTGTGCAATACACAGTCATCTGCAAAGGAAAAAAAAAAAGAGGAAAAACCATCTTAAAAAGGGAAACTCATTTGTATATCTCATTAGGAGATGGGTAACAACACGCAATACTTAGACTCCAAATGCGATTTCAGGTGAGGGCTGAATCCTGTGCAAGCATTTAGAAGCTAGGCGTGTTCTAAGATACTTGAAACCTTTGCTGAAGGGTCAAGGCCACTTAGATGCAAACAGCCTTCCAGTTCTCCTGTGAGCTACTAAAGAGGAAGGCGACTGGCAGTGCTCAGCAACGGCTGCCTTTCCCAATATTCAGTCTGTATTAACTGCTCTCCTTTGAATGAAGTGACCCAGTTGAATAGATTGGCAAGACAGGCTTAGGCTTAAAGCTTTGAAGGAACCAACTGAGCTTCCCAAACTTAAATCACTCTTGGCAGCTTTGCTCATTAACAGTCTTTTGGAACTCACTGGTCTTAAAGCACGTACGCATTTCTGCATATTCTACTAACTCGTGCTTGTTTTTCTTCTTTGCATAGTTCCTGGACATAATTTTGTGTGCATGTGTAGGTGTGTGCATATATACCTGTGTGTGCATGTGTACCTGTGTGTCCTTGTGGATGGAGGCCAGAGGACAGCCTCAGGTGCTATGCTTCAGGAGTTGCCCTACCTTGAGTTTTGAGACAGGGTCTCTCCCTGTGTTCTGGGACTTGCCAGTTAGGCTAGACTGGTAGCCAGCAAGGCCCCATATGCCTCCAGTCTCTGCCTCTCCATCACTGGGTTTACAAGTACATGCCTCCATACCTGGTTTTTCCACATGGGAGTTAAACACATAAGGATCAAGTTTAGATAGGACCTTCTTTACAGACTAAGCTCTCCCTCCAGCTCCTTTTTAAATACTGTGTCATCTGACTCATCTTTTGCTGGACTCAGAAGACTACTTATATTAATGTCATTTGTGATACACTATACATTTTTATCAGGATAATTAGCAGAAAAACATTACAGGTTATTTTTTAACATTTTAATATATTTCTGAATTTATGTTAAGATTGTGCTGATTAATACCTTTCCCAGAAACAGATCAATGCTCGTGTTTGAATGGCCCATGTACCTTTTCCAATTAACCAGGGATGCCCTTTCCTTTATTTCCATTTTGAGGAGGAAAATAAATTTTTTCTAAGCCAGACAGTGGTAGCACATTCCTTTAATCCCAGTACACAGGAGGCAGAGGCAGGCAGATCTCTGAGTTTGAGGCCAAGCTGGTTAACAAAATGAGTTCCAGGATAGCCAGGGCTACATAGAGAAATCCTGTCTCAAAAACAAAATAAATAAATAAATATAAATAAATTGTTTCTAAAAATTTATTGGATTGTCATTACAGTCTTTTTGTATGATTTTTTTTTAAAAACCTATATCCTTGGCCTATATCTGTGTTTTAACTCGTGATAGATAAGAATGTTTTCTATATCAAAAGTCCTACATCCCCAGTTTTTTTATGGGTTTTGTTACTTTATTTATACTGGTCTCCATTGTCTTTTGTCTGTAATTCTGAGGTAATACCAACGCTGATTAATATGCATGGCTGATAGAAAGATTTAATGAGAAATCTATGGGGAAATGCTGGGAAACACTAAGCTTTGTCACACTGTTCTTCTAGTGATGAAAGTACACAGGAAGAAAAGGGATTGGCTAATATGTCTAGCATGAATTTATAGATATGTTCATATCATGTCTTGAAAATATCTTACCTAACAAAAAAAATTAATTTTAGTTCATACATTGACTGACCCCTCCAAATATTTAAATGTTAAGATTGGTCCCAAGGCCAGTCCTTTAGATCCAAAGCTGCAGGATCTCCATGACACATGGCAACAACAGGATATCCAAGAGGAGTCCCTGTGAGGATCTAGTGTCGGCAGTGTAGCAGAAGCTGGAGTCCTGGAACCAGACCGATGACTCATGGCAATGAACATTTACAAGAAAGGATTTGTGGACGGAAGGGTATACTATGCGACACACTATGACATATTACATCTTCCACGAAAAGATGTTTTCTGTTTTGTTTGTTTGTTTTTCTTTCAGCGGGTTGCAAGGTCAGAGAGTGGATACAAAGGAACGGGGAGCTGAGTGGAATTGGGGTGCATGATGTGAAACTCACAAAGAATCAATAAAAAGTTAAATTTAAAAAAAAAATTAGTCCCAAGTTAGTGCTAGAATAAGGTAGTAAAATCCTTGCCAGATAGGGTCTAGTGGGATATCCTGGGGTCACTGAGAGCATGCCCTCAGGAGGGAGTATGGAACCTTCACCCCTCTCTCTATTTGCTTCCTAGACACGAGGTAGAAAGTTTTGCTCTGTTTCTCACTCCTACTCCAGAGCATTGTCTCACCACAGGCTCAAAGACTGGGGGCCAAGTGGAACTTCTACAACAACAAGCCAAGACAAACCTTCTCTCTTTATAAGTTACTTATCTTAGGTATTTTGTTACAGAAAAGGAAAGCTAAGACAAGGCTATTATGAACATCAACAAAGATGTTTAATAGAAAAGCACTCAGAAACTTTTAGATGAGTCCACATAAAGCCAGGTCGTCGCTCTCACGTTCTTTTGAAAGCTCTAATTAGCCAAGTACAGACTTGTTAAAACAAGAAAGGCTCCACGTTCGACATGATTTTTACCTCAGCCTGATGAGTTATACGCAGCTCACCTTCCCAAGCCATCCTATTCTTGGCTCCTCTTCATTTGAAAACAAAAAGAGGTCACTCAGCGGAACACTCTTCTGCAACAGAATGAGGTATTTTTAATTATGCGTTTTTATAAATAGATAAGAAGATATTTAAATGAATACATGAGGCTCCATTCCCAGTGATGCTGCCGTCCTCTCTTCCTCTGCCCTCATCCTGGTCTCCATGGTTTCTTGCATATTATTCCTGTGTTTCCTATATGCAAACAAATACAAACAGACAGCACTTCCCTGTTCATACATGAAATCTGTTTGATCTTCTACCTCACTTTTTTCAACCTGCTAATACATCTTGAGGATTGACAATGATGCTTCATGGTAGAATTTTTTTTTTTAGTATGTGCTAGACCCTATATTCAATCCACACCACCACAAATCAAAGTAAAACGGACGTCCCTGAATATATCTTGTGAAGAAGATCTCCTATGGGATGATTCAGTGTAAACACGGGACATGAGGATATTGCCCTTGACAAGAACATTATAAAATCTTGTCCTATCACTGAAAAAATATAATTATGTGAGGGAATATATATATATATTAAATAGCCTGATTTAGCTGTTCTACAATGTAGACATATACCAAAATATGGTATATACCACAAAGGCATAAAACTTGTATTAGTCAACCAGGAAAATTACCTGAAGATAATATAAAAAAATAAACAAATAAATAAAACGGAGAACCCAGCCCTCCCCTTTAATCTTATGTTCATTATGTCACCATAGTCAGGGAATCTCAGAATTGGCTAATGTAAAGAGTTTGTCACTCGGGCATCAAAACCTGCTTCGTCTTTTTCTGGGAAGTATATTGTGTCCCCTTACCTCACCCTGTGTGTTGGTGTTGCTGCTGTTCCTGGGGACCTGAGCCGTGAGTGCACATTCAACAACTGAGGGATTCCCAAAACCAAGGCTGTGCTTTAATCTCCCTCTTGGCTGGGTGTGGGCACATGGCCGATTTGCAACAGATAAATGAACAGAGGACATGAGAATCACTTCTTGGTTCAGCCCAAACCCACCTCCCCAGTATGCTGTGTTCTCTCTCACTTGCCAGCAGTTTGGTAATGCCTAGAAATGACTCTGTAGGCAGCACATTAAAGATGGAAGAGCCACAAGAGAGAAAGCTTGGGGCCTTTGAACTGCTGCTAGAAAGAGCATGACACATCTTGGATGCTGTATGATAAGAGAGCCTTTGCATCTTCTAGAGTCATGAGATTACTGTTTAGGAGGACTACAGCAGCTAACACTGCCGTCATTAACACAGATACCAAACGCTGGGCATCTTCAGCCGATCCTTCTGTCTGTGAGAGTCTCAGCAGTCTAGATATCTGGGATTCCACAAGAACTTCCACTGGACTGTGAGCTCCCTGTGGGAAGTGACTACCATTCATGCTCATATCCTTAGTGCCTAAAGCAAGTGGCATATAGCAGGTGTTCAGTAAATCCTCCAAACCATTTTGGAGGAGTGAATGAATCCTGGACCTCCTGCAGGGACAAAGGCTTACTTTACTGCCCTATCAGTTAGTTTGCTGTGATCCCACTGCATTTTACTGTTGCCCCTTGATCAGGCAGTCATACTTCGTCAGCTTGAACTATTGGGACATTATTAATATGGAACTAAGTGTCACCACCCTCTAACTTACTCCGCTTTCTTACTGGCTTTTTAGGCACACAGAATAAATCTAAGCCATCTTCAAGACAGCTCTTCAACTACTTGACAACGCCTCCTCCTACCTCTCCCATAAGAAATGCTCTGGGCTCCAGGCTAAGTAGTTTTATGTCCTTCAGGTCTTCTAAGATTGCCCCGACTGGAACTCCTATCATTGTTCTGCATTCCCCTGTGCACACTTGGGGCTGTCACTGTTCCCTGTTCAACCAGTACTCACGGTGGAGGACCATCCTCTTGGAATAGACTGACCCACTCATGGAGGACCCCCTGTCTCTCTCAACTAGGACCCCATACATTAATCAAAGCAGCTCATTGATTTTTAACAGTCTCAGAGGCAGCTATGTGGCCTGCAGATCCATCTGAGCTTTCTACCTAACTTGCTATCTCTTCTCTCTACTGCAGGAAGGGGTCCCCTGCCACCAATCTACACACCACTTCCCTATACATTCTTAAGACAAATTACTTCATCTCTTTTGTACAAAAAAAATCAGATGGCTGGGCCACATGATGATTGAGGTTTGTTTCTTACTCAGACATCCTTCATGTGTAGAACAGGAAATTCTGGGAGAACGTATGGGGCTCTGACGTAGCATCTCTCACCGATAAAGCAATGGGAGTATAAATCTGCCTAGAGACAACAAGCTTGGCAAACAATATGAAAAACTACAGGTAGTTTTTCTCAGCGGCATTAAACTGATACCCACTGACGTCTGGATACTGTGATTAGCCAGAAGTATATACTAGAGAAAATGGACCACTGGTATAAAGTCAAGAAAAACACAGCACCAGCTGACAGTGACAAAGCACAGGAGAAATCAGGGTGTGTCTCCTGGAAACGTAGTTCTGGGGAATATACCACCCATACTTTTTAAATGCAAGGAATAACTGCCATATAGTGGGATTTCAAACAACTGAAAGCCTAGTTGGGTGCATTACCAACTTCTTCTTGTCATTTTACACATGGTATAAGCATAGCCACCTCCAAAGACCCTCAACTACTGGGTCAAAAGTTCTGTTTGCTGGGGGCATGAGATCATGTCTGTATATCTCTTGCCCTTGGACAAGTTCTTATAAAGCAGACATCTTACTTGCTTTTAGCTGATTAATTTTTCTTGCTGTTTCTGCTGGCTAGCCCTCCCCACCACCCCCCACCCACACTTCTGAGGCTGGGTCCACTTCCCATCTCAGAACAAGATTCTGCACATTATTATTTGACCTCCTTTGAAAATCTCATTGCCAGCTTTCTAACCTGATCTGGGCACATTCCCCATCGGGGCCTGCATTTCCTGTGGATGATGAGTTGGTTTCCTAGGTGACAGAGGAAAGGAATAGACCTGTTAGCTTGTGGCTTCTGACTCACTCTCTGCAATGGACGTCACAGCATCCTGGCTGAATAAGTGGATGCTGATAATAAGCTTGAGCTGAAGGTAGCAGCAGGGCCCTAATGGTTAAGACGATCGAGCTGTACCGGATTGGCCTCCCACGAGGCAAGCCAACAGACCCCATATATTCTGGATCTGAAGAAACAAACAGCAATCCCAGGCCTCTGAGCCCAGTCCTTTATAAATTCACAGTAGAATTCTGCTCTGCAATGATCTCTGTACCGTTTGCTTTTCTGGGACATGGAGGAGGCAGGGTTCTCAAACGAAATGGCCCATGAAGGCCAAAAGGAGAGGTAGCGACAAACCAAATACTCAAATTCAGTTTACTGAGATGACAGCTGTCTTTAAATTTTCACAGTCGTTCCCAAAGGGATAAATAAACCCACAATGGCCTGATCAGTCATTAGAGACCACAATGAAAAATGACAGATTCATCTTCAGAAAAGTTAGATTTCATGAAACTTGGAGACAAGGGCACACACACACACACACACACACACACACACAAGCTTACATTTCAACTCCTTATTTTTCTGTTAACTCATCCTAGCACTGCACAAGTCAATGAAAGCTGTGTGGAACCAAAAACCTGAAGTGTTCCTTTGTTCTTCCAGTTCCAGTCAGAGCAGGCTCAATGAATTCTTAAGATTCTTGAATCCCTTAAATGACCAGCAAACCTAAAGTTCCTTACAGGCAATAAAGCATCTTGTTTTTCTCAGGGGCCTTGAGGGGTACTTTAAATAGCACGAGCAAGCATCTGAATGAATTAGACAGCAAATGTAGGTTAGCTTTATTTAGACAGATAAAGAAGCAGAGAAAGTTGTCTGGTTCAAGGGCAGTGCAGCCTGACATGACAGCATTTCTCAGAGGAGGGGAAGCTGCTCTGGGAGAGAGAGGTATTTTGGGCAAAGAGCAAAGTTCCTTTGTAATCTCCAGGGACAGAGATGCTACACTCTTCAGCACACAAGAGCACGATTTAAGAATGGCCAGCTCGTCACTGAAGGAAGGAGCTATAGATTTACAATGTAAAATGGAGCCTAGCACATTTGAATTCACCTTTCCCCATTCCTAAGGGACATTGTCAGAAAAGATAAGTTTCTTGGAACATAAGCTGGACTAGGAAGCTCCTTCAGCTTCTGGGAAGCAAGGCTTCAGATCCGCAGCAATGGTCCCTAGTTCCCACATGGGGTTAGTTACAGTATCTCCCTGGGAGAACAAAACATAAGGATTCTCAAGCCCGTTCTGCAGAATGGCATGCCATTTGCACACATCCTATGCACAACTTCCTGCATATTTTAAATCCTCTTTAGATATCCGGCAATACCTCACATCATATAAATGTTGTATAACTGTTGTGATGCTAGACTGTCCAGTAATAAGAAAAATATCATAAATGTTGAGGATATCTGCAACACCTCCCCACCGCCTCCCACTGCCGCCGCCACCACCAATATCTTCAATGTTGTTGTAGAATCTGAGGATTCAGGATCCTGTGGATACTGTGGGCTAAGTAGATATCCAGATGGAGGGCCTCTGGAGATACATAAGCAATGGTGTGGAGACATTCATGCATTCGCAATAAGTAAGTGCTTGAGAAAACAAGTCAATAAATAGGTTTGGGTTTTTCTTGCTCCTTTTCCTCTTCACCTTTTCCTCTCTGAGATTATTCTCTGGAATGGTTGTCCCTTTATACATATGTTCTGGAAGTAAATGATGTATAGAAGGTAGTAGATTTAGGGAAAAAAAATTAACATTCCGATTGTATTGTTTGTGCCATGATGCTTAAGGCATCTTCCCTAAGCCTTTGCTGGTTTCTCCTCAATCCACAAAAGTCAAATGTGTTTTACAGTTCAGCAGCTACTCCCCAGTTGTAATTTGAAAATGAAAAAGACATTAGATTTATTCATTTGAATACATTATGATTCTGAATAATTAATAATTTTGAGAAAACTAATTTCTTCCCAAGACATAATTTTGTGTTCCGAAAGTAACACTAAATTCACACTTATGAAAAAAAAAACTTGGAAAAAATTCTAGCAAACAAACAAACAAACAAAAAGACACCAACTCTAAAACAAATTTTTAGCCACTTAGTTTTCTTTTTAATTTATTAGTTTTAGTTACGAATGTACGTGGGCCAAGAGCGCTGTACAAAGGAGCACAGGTGCTCATGCAGGACAGAGGTGGTCCAGCTCTTGGTGCAGGTGTGGCAGACGGCTGTACGGCATCATGTGGATGCTGGGAAGGGTCCTCTGCCAGAGCAGCACTTGTGTAACTACTGTCAAACCACTGATGTTGCTCCAGCCAGCTGTTTTGTTTTTGTTTTGTTTTTTCTTTTTCTGTTCTTTAAAGAACATAGGTTCAGTCCCCAGCACCTACTTGCTGGCTTACAACTCCATTACCAGAGATTCAACACCCTCTTCTGGTTGCTGATGGCACCAGGCACCCACATACAGGGTGTACATAAATTCACACAGGCAAAGCACTTATATACATAAAAAAAAAATCAAACGTATCACTTCTGAAAACCATGCTTCTTTACAGATGGTGTCAGAGTGAAAGTGACATAACCCTGTTGTGAAGCCAGACCTACGCTCTGAGTTGGGTATTCACACATACTTTCTCCTTTATCCGTTCCATGCATTTCTTCCTTCAATAATTATCAGCAGGATACCCTCCACATGCTAAGAAAGCAAGGACCCTTTAGAATTCACCTTCTTCCCCACTGTCCGCTCTTTTCTGCCTGATTGGCCCCTCTCCACCCTGTCCACCTGAACTCCTCTCCAGTTACTCCTGCTGGTCCTACAGCACATGCTAAAAATGTATCCAGCGGGGAAGTACTGTTTGCACTATAGCCAAAGTCCACTTAACTCGCCTCATTCGCTGCCAAAATCTCAACATCCTTTTAACTCTTTGTGACACTGGCAAATGGGCTAATCATCAGAGGCCACTCCAGCTCTAAGAGCGTGACAGACTGTCAATAGGTATGACTACATTTCTGAAATAACATATTCAGAAGACTTTTCTGAGGCCCAGATACCAAGTATGTTCAAAGGCTATATCAACCTTTTATAAAACTGTCTTACCTAAAGCCAAATCCTAGAACCTTTTCATATGTGTAGTTACCAGAATCGAATCAGAAGGAAAATTAACTATTCACTTCTTTCTAGTAAAGATACTAACATTTTTACGTGAACCAGAATGATGAATGTAGTGACACCCATGGGACGGGGGTGTCTCTCTTGCTCTGACATCACCAGTCACACTATGATTGTTAGGATATGTTTGTTAGAACTTCTCAGTGTGTGCTAATAATGAGGTTTGGTGATGCAATTTTATAACCTGTTTTTAATATTTCTAGTTATTAGTTAATAGTTCCGCAAAATAAAACATTTACACAGAAGGACAGAGCTAAGTTGTAATCAGTTGCTGATACAAAAACAAAAAAATAAAATATGGTGTACGTAACTGTTAAAATAATGACTATCTCCCATCTCTGTTTTTCTGTGGTCTTCGTGCTTGCTTTGCCAAACGTGATTTCAGTAATTTCATGTCACTATAAAGAAGAAAGTATTGTAATAGTGTGTGCTCGGGCAAAGTAAGACTCACACGTTTTATTTTTGTGACATTTGTGTCTCTTCAGCATGACCCTGGCAGTCTGCCTCTCATGATGCAACTTCCTGCTCTGTTTTTGTTTTGGTCAGGGATTGTTTCAGGCTCCCCTTCCTGTAACGGTTTGCTTGTGAGGTACTTAGCTGCCACTTTGTTTTCTGTAGTTCCATTTCTGCTTTCTGTGGCAACTCCTACACAAAAATATCTAGTACGCCATCCAAATGGACATTCACTCACAGGTTTTCAAACATACACACTCAAACATACAATCACAAACACATGCATATACACACACACACACACACACACACACACCCGGCCTAGACTCTTCCATCCTCACCCTGGGACTCACACTCTTCCAGCTGTTTGCTGGTTCTGTGGACAAAAACAGTGGCTGCTAATGTCAGTTCTGTGATCAGAATGGAGGTTAAAAGAAACTAGAAACACTTAGGGATCTTGGGCCAAGAAGAAGCTGGCCACACAGGTTAGAGATGACAGGGGTGAAGGCTTCGAACTGTCTGTCATGAGAAGAGCAGAAGAAACTGGACTTGGGTTCCTTCATAGTTTTTTTTTTTCTATCTCCTGACAGGCATGCGCTGGTCCCTCAAAGATCAGCTCACCACCCTTTGAGACTTTGCCTGAGACACCACTGTCTCTGATTTGGCCTCCTGTAATCCCGGTTTAGATATGTTTTTCTTCCTTCTGCCAACAAGCTGTTAGATTGTAATGCTTAGAAGCATAGACATTGGCTGCTTCAGCTTTAATCTTAGTACCTGCCACACAGTGAGTGTCAACTCAAAGCATGAGCAGAATCCATGTTCCCCTCTCATGGGAAAAGTGACCAACTTTGGTGAAGGAGAGAGACAGGAGTATCCTTACTGACATCCCTTCTAAGACTGACAGAGAGGAGCTGACCTCACACCAGGGGCTAAAGGTAAGAATAAATTAGCAACAAATAGTGCTGCCTGGTACCTCTGCATCCACGTCTTCTAACGACTAATAAATAGGTCCAATGCTACCCACAAGAGTAGTCAGGCACAATGGTACGCACCTTTGACCCCAGCACTGGGGAAACAGAGGCAGGCCGTGAGTTCATTATGAGTTCAATGTCAACCTGGACTGAACATCAAATTCCAGACCAGCCCACGCTACAAAGTGAGACCGTGTCTCAAACAAATAGAGAAATGATAAAAGATAAATCAAAAGGAGTCTCTCAAAACCTTCCAAGATCAAGTCAGAAGAAGCAGTAGCTGTACAGAGGAAGATAGCCCTAGCAAATGGGAATGCATCCTACAGCCTCTAAATCGATGGGTGTGAGCCACGTCTCAGAGTCTAGTGTGTCAGTGTCTAAGTGCTCTGAGTATAAAGAGGAGGTAAGGGTGAGAGGGATCTGTGTCCCCCTTCTCTTCTTGCCTTTATCACATTAAAATCCCATAATGCTCATTACAAAGGTGAACCCTGGTCCTCATGGTGGGTTTGTGGGTAGGATTTCTGGTGGTGAACACAGGCGCCAGAGCCTGAAAAATTTTGAGTGTGTGAACTAAAGTCCTGTCATGGTAGATGAGATGTCTTTGATCTCCTTCCAAGCCTTGTCCACCTATTTATTGTAACAGGCCACCGTGGCTGTGGAGATGTACTATCTGATAGGATAAATCTGGGCCAGATGACCACCACGCTCCACACAGACCTGGATGTCCAGGCTAGCAGACTGATTATAGAGTTTGCCAATCCATGGGTCTGGAGGACTGCTCACTTTGGCCAGGCCTTCCTGTTTGCAGTACATTATAGCTCTAATGGCCTTTTGTAGTGGATCCTGGGGCAACAGGACTACAAGTCTGGGATGCCAGCTCCTCACTGTGTAAAGGGCTCAACTTTTTTTACTGGAAAGATCCCAGGTTAATTTGCACCTACACCATAAATGGTTTTATTGTCTTCCTTTTCCACATGGAGAAAGTAGGAGTTGCAAGAATCAGAATTAGGAAGGAGTCCTGTTCCCAAAGGATACAGAACTAGGATTTGAACCTGTCTCTTTGTTATTCCCAAGAGCTATTTCCTATTTGCTTGTTTGTCTGAAATTTTTGTTTGTTTGTTTGTGACAAGCATGTGTCACCCAGCCCAACTCCAAGAGCTTTTAAGAGACAGGCAACTTTTTAGCAGGACTGGAAAACAAAGACTGAATGTTGGTCAAGGAATATAGCTCGGTGGTACGATACTTACTTAGCTTGTGTAAGGTCCTGAGTTGGATCTCCAGGCCCAGAAGATGGAATATTATTTGGACACTGTGGGTCACATCTGTGGGAGGGATGGGAAAACGATACTTCATTCAGAGGACTACGTATCAAGGTTGAGAAGTTGACACATATTTGCTGGCTGAACGACACAATGAAACAGGGTTTGGGGAAAAGGACTTCAAGAGGAAGGGTCTGCTCAGCTTGCAGGGAATCCAGGGAACACGGGGAGGCAGCTGTGAGCTGTGCCAGGAGCAAGCCCAGGTGCTGGGACACTGCGGAGAAGGGAGTGTTACACTGCAGGGTGGAAGGGTTCAAACCAGTTCAGCCGAGTTCAGCTTGGGGCTGGGATAGTTGAAGGTGAAGGGGGGTGTGGGGGAGTGGGGGAGTGGAAGGGGCGGAGCCGTGTCGCAGAAGCTTCCAGAGAAGCATCTGAACTAGAAATGGGGACTTATTGGGAGGTTTTTGAGTAGAGAAGGCAACGATCCAATTAAATCCTTGATTAAAGTACCCTCAAAGTATTCCTGAATCCATCCTGACTCCTGTATACAAAGCTCACTAAGCAGAAAGATATAGGAAGTCAGTATTCTTAAGGCAAAACCACCACCATCACCAAAACCCTGACAAAAACACAAAAGCCTGCTTACTTTGGAAGAAAGACAGCCAAGTCCAGCCACCTTCCCTCTTCCTCAGCCAGAAATGGTCCCATTTTCCTGACTGGGGGTCATTCACCAAAATAACCCTAAGGGCAACAAATTCAATCCCTCCTCCCCTCAGAGAAAAAAAATTCCAGCTGGGAAATGACAGTCCCTTCCTCTCCTTCCTGTTGGGCGGTCAGCCCAGGGAAGACTGCTGCCCTGTTCTCACCTCCGTGTACCGGACCCACTCGCTGGAGTGGGAACAGGATCCTGATGGCTTAATTGAGTTAAAAGGGAAAGTGCGGGTCCTCTAAAAGCCTCCTCGATGGCTTCAATGGCTTCGGAGAGGCACTCAGAGCTCTAAAAAACCTTGTGGTGGTAGCAGAGGCTCAGTCCCTGGGCTAGGGAAAAGCAAAGTGAATTTCCCATAGTGCAGAATTCAGGAGCACTGAGAGCCAGCTGCCCGAGCCGGCACAAACGGCTTGTTTACATTTTTCTCTTGGGCTGAAACCCATCTATTTAAACTTTAACCAGAGGCAATTATAAACCCAGGAAAGCCAGACATGGCAGCCTGCACAGGACGCGAGTCGGATGCCAGCAGTCTGGCAGTCCGGGGAAGAGAGGAGTATTTTGAGACAGGGGGTCGAGGAAGAACCACAGAGATCTGAAAGGAATAGGTATCCCTTAGGGGCTGGTCCTCAGAAGTGACACAGAGAAGACTGGGGTGAAGGCAGCAGGGCAGGCTAGGGACAGTGCTCTCGGAAACCTGTCACCCTTCCAGGATTCCAAAACCCTACTCGCCATGGCTCTGAGCTTGCCTTCCTTGTCTTCCTTTTGCCTAGGCTGAGAATGGCCCCTTTCTCCTGATTCTGGAGACCATTCCATCTTTCCAAATCCCAAGGTGCTTTGGTTTTTTTTTTCTCTGGTTCATAGGTAGCCATTTTCTTACTGAGCTGTGATTTGGTGAGAGGAGAGGCAGGGTGTGTATGGGGGTGGGGGTGGGGGAGCAGCTCCAGAGGCCTTTTTGGTAAGGATACTTACCTCATTCATGAGGGCTTAAGACCTTTGTTTTCCTTCCTGGGTCAAAGTGCATTTATCTGCCCCGGGGTTGGCAGCCAGAGGAGACTGTTTTTCTGAAAGGGCAAGAAAGTTTTCCTGGCAAAGCTCCCCTGGGAGCCTTGATGAGCAGCCTAGTGGTCTAGGGTATGCTCAATTTAACAGAGGCTCCCGCTAACGCTTAGAGGGAACTCATCTGCTGGCTTGATATGGGTGAATCCTATGAGCCAGTGCAGAGAGAGACAGAAAGCTGCAGCTTCTAGGTTGATGTTTTATATTGCATTCCAGGTCTCTGGTGGGCTGGTCAGTCAGCGCCAATTTTTGATACATTATAATAATTTGAGAAGCAAGGTAAACCTTTAATCCTAGCGCTTGAAAGAAAGAGGTAGGTAGATCTCTATGAGTTTGAGGGCAATCCAGTCCACATAGTGTGTTCCAGGCCAGCCAAGGGTACATAGCAAGATCTTGCCCCCAGCACCCCCTCAAAAACCAGAAAAAATAAACAAACCAAAACTATGGATAAAATATAATTCCTTCTTCCCCATTCATTTGAAAAAAAAAATCTTACTACCAAAGTAGTGGCATTAGCTGTAGGGTCTTTAGGTATTAAAGATATTATATTATAAGGCCAGGGCCCTCATGAAAGAAGTTAGGGCCTTTAATAAAATGGCCCTAGAGCGCTGCCTTCTCTTCCAGCTATGTGAGGGTTCAACAAAGAAGATGGATGCCTGTAAACCAGAAACCTGGACCTCACCAGATACAGAACCTGCCAGGACCAGAACCATGAGAAAGAAATTTTGTAGATTATGAATCTCCCAATCTACAGTGTTCCGTTACAGCAGCCCAAAAGCACTTGTGCACTAATCAAATCCCTCCCGTGTCAAAGCCTGACGCTACTCCTAGACACTCTTGCTGCCTCTGGTTTACAAGCTTCTTGGTTTTGCTGTCTCTATAAAGATGCTCATGCATCATGCAGAACACAAGCCTTAACTCAGATGTTATCAGCTACTTTCCTAGCAGGATTCACTTTCTGCTCATTCTGACACCAGAGCCCTGTGGGAAGAAGCTCTGGGTGGGCAGAGGCCCTGGGAATTACTAGTAGGAAGCAGACAGTGTAACAGTGAGACATCTACATAAGCACAGGGAGGAACAGCCCAAGGTCTTCCTGACTTTCTGTAAAACCTCTTCTTAGCTCCCAGTTCTCGCCAGGGGAAGCCATTTGGAGCCCAGCCAGAGGAACACAGGTAGAGCTAGAGGATTAGCCAAGCACCTCGTGATGTCCAAGGCCCTGGTTATGGTCTTCCAGGGTAAACAGACCAAGGTCATGGGCTTCTTTCCAGACCAGTTTGCTACCCTCACCGGAAGGTCTGTCCTGCAGCTCTGAACCACTTTCTTGACTCCAGCCAATCATCTAAAAAATTCATGATCTTGTTCCCAAGAGCCTGGATGGCTGCTTGCAAACTCATGCTGACTGGTGACAGATCTCAGGGGAATGTCTTTGTTTACATGGGGGCAGGGCATTTCTTACAAGGATGATAACACTATTGCTGAAATTTTAGCTCTTCTAAGTTTGTATGTAGACACTATTTTCTCATTATCTGGTTCCTGGAAAGAAAGGTCAGATTCTATGTCTTCTACAGGGTAGAGCCTTGTTCTTATGGATGTGCCAAGAGTGCCCAAAAGGCTCAGAGGCAACTACTCGTTGCCCAACACAAGATATTATATACTGGGGGAGACATTTCATAAAACTAGACATGAAACTTCCAAAGGAAATCTAGGGAATTGTACAAAAAACAAAGGCAGCAAAGACTGGTGGCTAAAAACATGGATTCAGGAACCAGGGTGTGTGATATTACTGTAGAACTGAATCCCCTTCCCAAGACCTCAATTTCTTATCCACGAAATTCAGACAATAGTAATTCCCAACTCCCAGTGATGTATGGGAGATCTAAGTTTACTAAAGAATTAAATGTGTTCATAATATTTAAAAATGCATAGAGGAGTGCCTGCCACATAGCTTTGGATGTTGAGATGGTTAAGTTTGTCAGTGTGACACAACCTAGTATTATCTGGGAAGAGAATCTTAATGAAGAGTTGGTTATGTTGGGTTGGCCTATGGGCATATTTATGGAGGCATGGTCTTAGTTAAATTAGTTGGTATTTAAAGTATCAGCCCACTATGGGCAGCACCATTCCTTAGGCAGGTCTTGACCTGTGTAAGAGTGGAGGAACTGAGCTGATCACAAGCAAGCACATAATTATTCATTCACTTATTTCTCTGCTTTTGACTGTGGATGTGATAGGACTAGCTATTTTAAGTTCCTGCTACCTTGACTTCCCAGCTATCATGTATTATAACCTGGCATTGTGAATAAAAACAAACCCTTTCTCCCCTAAGTTGCTTTGTGTCAGGTTATTTCTCACAGCAACCAAAATGAAACTAGAATGGATAGGGAATGTAACATCTTAAAAAGTAACATTGCCAGGCCTGGACACTGTGGTTGGTTCTATGATGGTCATGGTCTTTAGTTGGTTCCCACACGGGCATGAAAAGACAGAGAAAGATCTCTGATACGTTCTGCCCCCAGAGAGGTTCCATTCTGAATTCTGACAAATTCTTGCAAGCAGGACCCAGAACAAATAGAGCTGACAAGAAGCTCCGCCCTATGCCTGCGTTGGAAACAAGATCCTCTCCTTGGAATCCCTCTCAGCTCAGAGACTCATACATCACTAAATGCGGCCCCTCCTGGACACCCTAACCAAGTCAGGGTCCCAAACAGATCACAGTCATGTTGAGGGTGAAGGGAGTGGGGAGGGGGCACCAGCAGGTGGTAAGAAAAAAAGAAAGACTACGCCAGAGGAAACCAAACACATCAGGAAAAAAAAAAGTAGAAAAGCCAAAGAAAGTACAAGGAAACTTTTTTGTGTCTCTCTATTTTTGGCCAAGTTGGGGGAAAAAATAAGCACAGGAGAATGAGACAGAGCCAGTGGAGGGACAAAGACAAGCGTGGATCTGCAGAAACACGCTAATTACCTCACCCTCCTCCTGTGTGGGGCTGCAGGCAGAGCCCAGGAGCCTAATCATGATTTCATCTCGCAGTCTTTCTTCCACCTCTGTATTTTCTTACAAAGTCCACTGCGATTCTATTTTGCTTTAGGAAGTAGAAACAGGATCTATCTTTAGGACGCTGAAATGCCAACTGGGCTCAGATGAGCATCACTGGGAGTAAAGGAGAGTTGCTGTGACCAGGACAAATATCAAATCACAAATATTTGAAATTCTTCCCCTCTGTGCCCTGAGGAGAGAAGAGTCTTTGTTTGCTGAACTGGCTCCCAGAACCACTTGGCCCCTGTCCTGCAGCATGGGACGTTAGATGGGGGAGGAGAAGGAAGGCAAAATATTAGTCAAGTGCCTACTATGTATCAGGCCTTCTGTTAGATGCTAGAAAACTGAACACCACAGCTCGATGTCTATAGGAAGCCCATATTTTTTATTTTTAAATATCTATTAAATAATTCCCATTTCATCCATATCCAAGGTCTTGGCAACCAAGATTCACTTCCCAGCTCTATGCATCTATTTTAGGCACTCATATAAGTTAAGTGTGTGTATACAGTAACCTCTCTTTCCTGTGATTAGCTTGTTTCACTCAGCGTAGTGTTCTCAAGGTTCATCCAAATCCTAATATGTAGGAATTTCCTTCTCTGAATGATTTAGCATCCTACATATGCCTACATATGTAATGTTTACTTCTCCATTCTTCTATTGAGGAACAGAGGGAGCTTCCACCTCTTGGCTATTGTACATAATGTTGCTAAGAACACAGGCATACAACATCTCTTAAAGGTTCCTCTTCCTTTTCCTCTTCCTCCTCTTCCTCCTCTTCCTCCTCTTCTTCCTCCTCTTCCTCCTCCTCCTCCTCTTTCTTCTCCTCCTTCTCCTCTTTCTCCTTCTCCTTCTCTTCTTCCTCCTCCTAACTCTTCCTCCTGATCAGATCTTATTACGTATCCTATACTGGCCTCAGTTCACAATCCTCCTGCTTCAACATAAATTTGTATTTCTGATCTATGTATTGCCCTAAGTCTTAGAACACTTGTTCTAAGCACAAAGCAATGACTGCTGTATTAGCCTATTTTGCATTGCTATAACAAAATACACAAGGCTGGGTCCCTTTAAGAAAAAAGGAGATTCATGTCAATTTTAGTTCTGAGAATCAAAGATCTTGCTGCCATACTTGCAAAGTTGTACAAAACATCATATGACAAGAGACAAGATATGTGCATGTTTTCTGGTTGTTCTCTTCATATAAAGCCACCATACCCTCTTTAGTCACTCCATCTTGGGAAGCCTCATCTTGATTACCTGCCAAAAGTCTCCATCTTGAAGCACTCTGGCCATGGTCATG